CTGATCTCGTCACTGCCTCACCTCTCGTCTCTCCCTGTATTTGAAACGGAGCTCGGCAAATTTGGCGATTTTGGCTATAAAAATTATTGGATTCATACAGAAATTATATTTATAACACAGATTAGTGTGGAAATCTTCCTATTTATTCTATTTTATTATTCTTTTTTTTACTTGAAGTAAAGCTATTTTCATTGTAGTATGACAGATGAGGCTCTGCCTCGCCTTACCGCACATGACTGTCCCCGTATAGCCTGTAACAGACTGTTGGGGCAAGCACTGTTAGCAAGCACCTATGAAGGCCGGCATGTCACATGAGGGGGTGGGTGGTCAGCACCACGCCCGGTCGCCTTTGTTTCCCCACCATCGATGATTTTACGTCCCACACCAGGTACTCATTTGAGACTGAGTCGACCTAGCCGAAGCTCAGGGCCAGTTTATATAATCGAAATCACCGATGTTGTCCATGATTCAAACTCGGGTCGCCGAGTTCGCAGTGTGGCGTAGCGCTAACTACTACACTACCGCTCCCCCACACACTCAATCCGCCTTTGATTGAAGGGAATGCGAGCCCACAGTTGCCTGGGGCTTCAAGTTTCCCACACCTCCTCGCTATGCTCCCATACCCTCTACATTATTTTCTTCAGAAGAAAATGCACTCTCTGTTGTTTGGCAGTCTTCTTTCCCGAGTAGAGGACTTTCCACCCCTCATAGTGGCTGGAGCCAGTCCACTTGACCTCCTAAATGCTGCAGAGATCCAGCTGGTACCAGTCCAGCTCCTGACCGAGGAGTGGCAGCCTCTCCTCCGCAGTGAGCATTCGAACATTCCGCGTGGCCACTCGCAATGTCTTCTTGCTGTTTCTGGAGGAACCCTAATTGTAATGATTCAGTCCCCTGGCTCCACCAAATAGGGTTTATCCAGGAGACGTCATAGATGCCTGTCCCCCGGGGCCTCCGGCACAAGTTTAGTTAGATTTTTTACATGTGTAATAAACGACTCTGTCAGGCTCTCTTGGTCTCCGTTGTCGTTTATTTAGGTTCCTCGTATCGCACCCTGCTGGTCCTCGGCCGGACCCGCGCCGCCTCCGCCCCGCGCCCCGCGCACGCTCCGTGTGGCCCGCACTCGCTGGTGGCCGCTCCGCTCTCTCCGTGTGCCCCGCACACGCCGCCAGCCACACCGCTCGCTCCGTGTGCCCTGCACACCCCGCTAGTCACTCACTAGCCACGTGTGCCCCGCTCACTCTGCTAGCCCCGCTCACTCTGCTAGCCCCTCACACACCGCTAGCCCTGTCTACCCCACGCACACCGCTGGCCGACGGTGTGCGTCGGTCTTCGACCACGTGGCAGATGGCGCCGCTCCTCCCGCACTGCCCAGCGTGGCTTCCCCTATTCTCACTCCGTTACGACTCCTCGATCTCTTCCGGCTCTCTCCCTATATCCTTCCCATCACGTGACCCTGACTCCTCCTTCCCGTACTGCCCCCGTCTCCACCCCCCGTTCACCTCGTTTCCCATTGGAGCCGAGGTGAGCAGTGGCTCCTCCCACACGCTCCGCCGACCAGGCTCCGCCCCCCAATGCTCCGGGCCGTGTGATTGGCGCGGAGGCCAGCAACCACCCCGTTTATGCTCGCATTACACATGTATATTAGTGGTATTTGTATTGAAGGTGGAGGGTTTACCAGACCCTCACACACATCCAGAGCCCTGGTTTTGCCACTGTGGTGGCTATAACCAGCATGAATGGGTATTTGCCGATTTTGAAATTGACCTTTCCTGGATGGTATTGCTCACATCCACCATAGCATTACCATCCGGCCCTAGTGAGGAGATAGGTGGTTGTTTTTTCTGGACACATGAACACGCACACACACACGTACAGACACATGGACACGGAAACATGCACATGTGAACAAAGAAACACATACAGATACATACACATGAACATATCATATAGATAGACACACAACACATGAACATGCACATGTATATTAACATCTATATATATAAAATCGTGAATCTGTCTGTCTGTCTGTCTGTGTGTGTGTGTGTGTCGCCGGACCATACGCACTTTCATTGGACGGCTGTTGCCCCTGGCAACGGGTAGCGACGCCTTCGCCGCTTTCATTGGACGGCGGTTGCCCCTGGCAACGGGTAGCGACGCCTTCGCCGCGGGCTGCAGTTTCATTGGACGGCGGTTGCCCCTGCCAACGGGTAGCCACGCCTTCGCCGCTTTCATTGGACGGCGGTTGCCCCTGCCAACGGGTAGCGACGCCTTCGGCGCGGGGTGGACGCCATTTTGAATTACCCTTAAAAATAGGCGCACGCATTAACACGCGACTCTGACGTAAATTCATCACAGTTTCACGTCCTCTTCACTTCCCTCCCACCCCAATGTGTTCAATTACTATTATAGGTTCCGTAGATAATAAAATAATAGCGATTACACAGTATTATTGTAGCGCGGGGGGGGGGGAACGGCACCCGTACCCTGCCTCTGCCGGGTGGGCAATTTTGGCGAGGCCGGAGCCTCTGCACGCTACTAGGCCTCGATACCCACCACGCGACTCTGAGGTAAATTCATCAAAGTTTCACGTACTCTTCACTCCCCCCCCACCACAATGTGTGCAATTAATATTACTTTTAAACCCAACGCGCCAAGAATCTATTCTTTAAATGTTGACTGTACAAATAGCCATTAAGCTGGGTGAGCGTACTGCCAGTCTATAATGTTGTCTGTAGCCTGCTTATTAAATTGGGTGAGTGTACTGCCAGTCTATAATGTTGACTGTTGCCTGCTTATTAAGCTCGGTGAGCGTACTGCCACTCTATCATGTAGACTCTAGCCTGCTTATGAAGCTGAGTGGGTGTACTGGCAGTCTATAATGTAGACTGTAGCCTGGTTATTATAATCGATTATTTCAATGTTCTTTGTACAAATAGTCATTAAGCTGGTTGAGCGTACTGGCCGTCTATAATGTAGACTGTAGCCTGCTTATTCAGCTGGGTGGGTGTACTGCCAGTCTATCATGTAGACTGTAGCCTGGTTATTAAGTAAAGTTAGTCAATTTGTAACACGTACGCTTTCGCAAACATTATTCATAAACAACGTTATTCGGTTTAGATCGCCTTATTTATTAATGTGTTGTAACCCTTATCCACCACCCGACACGCCCAATCTGCAAAAAATTGTCACGTTCATAAAAGACTAAGACTTCACTGCTTTAGCCCACCGGTGTGTTCAAGCGTAAAACCACAACAATTACCATTTCTCATGAAAAAACAACTGTATAATTATGTTTTAACCCCACGCGCCAATAATGGATTCTTTCAATGTTTATTCTACAAATAGTCATTAAGCTGGCTGAGCGTACTGGCAGTCTATAATGTAGACTGAAGCCTGCTTATTCAGCTGGGTGGGTGTACTGGCAGTCTATCATGTACACTGTAGCCTGCTTATTAAGTAAAGTTTGTCAATTTGTAACACGTGGCCTTTCGCGAGCATTAATCATAAACAACGTTATTGGCTTTAGATCGCCTTATTTATTAATGTGTTGTAACCCTCCACCACCCAACACGGCCATTCAGTAAAAAAGTGTCACGTTCAGCGGTGAGGGAGGGAGAGCGGTGAGGGAGGGAGAGCGGTGAGGGAGGGAGAGCGGTGAGGGAGGGAGAGCGGTGAGGGAGGGAGAGCGGTGAGGGAGGGAGAGCGGTGAGGGAGGGAGAGCGGTGAGGGAGGGAGAGCGGTGAGGGAGGGAGAGCGGTGAGGGAGGGAGAGCGCTGAGGGAGGGAGAGCGGTGAGGGAGGGAGAGCGGTGAGGGAGGGAGAGCGGTGAGGGAGGGAGAGCGGTGAGGGAGGGAGAGCGGTGAGGGAGGGAGAGCGGTGAGGGAGGGAGAGCGGTGAGGGGGGGAGAGCGGTGAGGGAGAGCGGTGAGGGAGGGAAAACGGTGAGGGAGGGAGAGCGGTGAGGGAGGGACAGCGGTGAGGGAGGGAGAGCGGTGAGGGAGGGAGAGCGGTGAGGGAGGGAGAGCGGTGAGGGAGGGAGAGCGGTGAGGGAGGGAGAGCGGTGAGGGAGGGAGAGCGGTGAGGGAGGGAGAGCGGTGAGGGAGGGAGAGCGGTGAGGCAGGGAGAGCGGTGAGGGAGGGAGAGCGGTGAGGGAGGGACTCAGCCTCAAAACGAGTAACTGGTGTGGCGTATTAACATCGCCACTGGGGAGACAAAGGCGCCTGGGCGTGGTGGATACAAGTCCCGGGCGAAGCCGGGTAGTACAGCTAGTTCACATATATACACATGGACACGCAGACAAAAACGCACACATGAACAGAGACACACAATGACAAACCAGTCTAAGGAGTTCACCCCCATCGGTGGCTCTGATGTCAGAAGAAAACATTCAATCCACGTGTGCTGTTGTTGAAGCTGGTAAATGAGTGAATTACCAAAACAGGATTGGAAATTTTTAGAAAGTAAGAGATTCTAGGCCGATAAAAGATAGTAACACATGGAGGTCATAAATCATTCAGAGTCAGGAGCTGCTGCTGCTGCTACTCCCCTGCATGGGGTATAAGGCAACGTTATGCGATGCATCGGAGAGAGTGGACAGGTTTCATACACACACAGATACCCATATACTCAGATACTCATAGACTCATACAGAGACCCATAAACTCACAAAGAGACCCATGAACTCATGCAGAAAGTCAAAGATTCACATTGAAGCCCATAAACTCATATAGAGACCAATATACTCACACAGAGAACCATAGATTCACACATGCAAAAACTCATACAGAGACCCATACACTCACACGATGCTCTATAGACGCATGCAGAGACTCATAGGCTCACACAAACTCAAAGACTAACATAGAAGCCCAAAAACTAACATTGAGACCCATAGACTCGGACAAAGACACGGAAATTCACGCAGAGATACATAGTTTATTGTCCTTCTCCCACACCTCCGGTTAAATATATAGTTATAGCCTACATATTGTATATACGGGTGTTAAAAAACATGCGTAGCTATTTGAGTAAAAGTGAGTCGTAACTTGCATAGCCACCCCACCAACATTGAAATAGCGAATTGGTCGTTGCGCCACCTGGGAGCGTGTTGCATGCGCTGGGACTTTGTGCAGCTGTCTTGAACTCACGATGCGAGAGAGAGAGCGCCTCTATCTGCAATGCTCCTGTGTTTAAGACCCCGTGGGCTGAACACAACATCCGGCTGTAGTGGTTCACCGGGCTGCAATGCAGACTTGGATTCTGACGCCTAAACGCTCAACTTCGGTCCTTTAACTGGACGGTGTCCTGTGCTTTATGAATGTCAATTTAACCCAAAGTAGTAGGAGGCTTTCGCCACGAATATTATTCATGATAGATGTTTTATTGGAGTAAAATGGCGTCAGTATAAATGTCGTTAACCCGACATAGCCCATTCAGTAAAGGTTTTTCACGTAAACAAAAGGTGGCCAATTAATCTTGAATTGAAGCTTTCGTGACTGCAGGAATCCATACTCTTTGGTTCTTTCGGTAAAGTCACGTAGTTAGAAATGAACTGAAATAAAAACAATCACGATCGAAACATCGTGATTTGTTTTTATTTTATTTCTAACTACGTGACTTTGCCTAAAGAACCAAAGAGCGTGGCCAATTAGTTTCCACTTCAGCACTAACCGGTTGTGTGTTGCTTGAGAAAATCTATTGCAACATTTACAATTTTTAATTACCATGACGTTTCGCTAGCAATTTACGCCAACCATCATCATCATCGGGCGACTTTGCCAGAATGTGAAGAGATATCTACCTTACTTCCGGTCTTAAATAGAGAAACGTGGCGTCATCACTGTGAGCCAATCAGAGAGCAGAGGGTGTTTATTGTAATCCTGTAACAATGGATTATGTTAATCTGGAACAGATGGCTTAATCACAGTTAATCAGTATTGTGATGCCTTTACAAGGCATACAATTGCAAGGTGTATTACTTAATAATAGGCTTCCAAGCAGCGCTAAGCCTGGAGCAGTCAGAACGGTTAAAGTTATTTGTATTTCTCTCAATGTCAATGGCTTCTCGAATTAGTCTTAGCCAAATGATAATTAGTGTTACACAACCAAAGCAACGTTATCAAAATCAATTGAATGCCCTTGTTGGCATGCTTGTTCTGCAAATTCCAACAGTTGTGTTTGCAAGTACTTAATATTTCTTCGGTGTTATTTTAGTCTCATATAAAAAACATTGTAATGTTTGTAATGTTTTTTTTAACCTATCTACGGTACTTTACCGAAAGAATTGCTGCAGTCACGAAAGTTTTAATAAATCTCAAACATATGTTTCGTACCGTCTGTCCAACAAAGCATTTAACTACGAGAGCAATTAATCCGGTACACACCTTCTGTTGATAACTTCGGGCAGCTCCTCTTTAGTCGGGGAATCTAGTTTTTGTATGTTTCACCATCGTGGTCATCATCAGCGCGTGTGAGTTCATTGTGAGTGAGTGAGCGAGTGGAGTTTTGTCTATTCTGTGTTAAGTCGGTGAACTGCAGGGTTGTGTAGACGCGTGCTATTACTGTCGCTGAGAGTTTGAAGAGTTGATGGTACTCGGTTGTCAATGAATTATTATCCACCACAGTTGGTTCACGTTCTTGTGCATAACGAACCAAGGCATAGTTACTACATTCCAAATCTTGTTAAGATTCTCAGTATTCCAAATCGAGTTATTGTCCTTCTTTCTGTTGCCGTCAAATCACATTTAAAAAGCTGTGTTGGTGTCCTATTAAAAATATTGAGGGAATTGCAGAAAATGGATCGGAACTCCTCTCTCTCCCATGTTAGCAATGAGCAACCCTCAAAGCTATCAGCTGGAACTGGAATATTTCCTCAATCACTGCCGATGCCGGATGGGAAAATTGGTGGGGTTTCAGGACTTTCTCAGTTGGTGCAAGCGGCTATGTCTCTCTGCATTGTCTAACCGATTCATAATCGCCCAGACACCCTGGCCGGCAAGGAGAGAGGTGGCTGAGAAAAAGTGCCGGGCCTATTTTTCCTCTGGTGAGAACATCTCACATCCCAAAATTAGTTGTCATTACCACAGCTTTGGAAATATTTGCAGATTTTTGTTGAGCATTTTTCTGAGATGTTTCCCAAAAGCTTTGTGTAAACTTAAGGGGGGTGCATGCGCGTCCGTGTGAATGTGTTCCTGATCTGTCTTCCCAGACGCGCCGATGAAAAAAAAATCTATTCACTCTGAGTACAGGATATAGCCACTGAAAACGGCGTCTCTATGCACGTCGAAGAAAAAATGAATGTACGGAGCCTCCAACTCCAGCCACACCTCGTCCCCAGCTTTGAGACTCAGCACTACGCTGCCACTTATTGCGTTGTAGTTTACGCCAGTGACCTTAGAGACGACCTCCCCGTTTTTCATGATCATAATCACGAGGTGCTTTTCATGGGCATGCGCGTACAGCGTGAAATAGTAGACGCCTGGATGGGCGCAGGTGAATTTCCCCGTGCCGGGGTTGTAGTGGCCCTGCGGGTTGGTGATGATGACGTTGAACGTCACGGGGGAGCCGGCCGCCGGCGTGTAGGCGCCTGGGACTCCCGGAGTCCCCGCGCGCCCCGGTTGGCCAAGAGGGCCCAGCATTCCCGGCAGACCTAGTCGGACAACACAGTCCAAACACACGGCGTGTGCATGTGTGTGTCACCCCACGGTAGTGTAGAGGTTAGCGCTATACACCCAGCAGAGACCCGAGTTCGATTCCCGCACATGGTCAACACAAGTGACGATTATCTGAACCGGTCATGGGAATTCTTCCCTACTTCGACTATCCTCAAATGATTACCAAGTGCGATGTTTTAACAACGCCACTTGGGAGATAAAGGCGTGCCGGCCTTCATAGGTGCTCACTAACATCACTTACCACAACAGTTTTTTTTAAGGCGATACGTGGGGTCTTTGTTTTTTGTGTGTTTATCCCCACTCTCAAACGGAGACATGGGGCAATTCTGCATCAATGTTGATGACGGTGAGCCAAACCTGCACAATTGAGTCGAGTCCTGTGACAAACGTCTTTGTTTTGTAACAGGAAAACCTTACCCGACGTGGCTGTTTGGAATGCGTGTTTCAGCTCTACACGGTGTACCGAGTGAGTTCTGTTTTCCAGAATATGGGGGTCATGTTCTGGTTATACACGGTGTACCTAATGAGGTATATTTTCCATGAAAATGGAGATACATAGAGACCCATAGACTAAATTATGACCTAAACTATTTGTTATTTTTCCACTGAGCTGCTGTTTTGCTTTTTTTTCCAGAAGCGACCTGCCTGTCGACAATGAAGTGGCTGGTTTCATCACGTGAATATTTGTAGCAGCCAAATACTCAAAAGTCTAAACGTGGAGGGGAAAACGAGAGGACCCGGAGAAAAATCCACACGACCACGGGAGAACATACAACCGCCGAATATACATCAGGCATCGTCAGGGTTGGGTTCGAACCAGAGGTCGCAAACGGGTACCCGTTCCCTACCCGTACCCGTACCCTACCCGAAATGAGTGACAAACGGTTACTCACCAGTGACTCACGGCCTACCCGTACCCGGCCGCACCAGGGTCGCAAACGGGTAGCCGTACCCGTACCCGGCTGGGTACGGGTAGCCGGGTATCGGGTAGGGTACGGGTGTCGGGTACCCGATTGCGACCTCTGGTTCGAACCCACGACCTCTTGTGGACCAGACGAGGGAGTTAACATCTCATAGCAACCGCAGTGAAATAAATATATCAGTGAGCTCGGTTATTTCCTACCTCGATTATATTGAGTTGCTTGGGCACTTGTGGTGTCTTTTAACTTCACGTTTAAAATAATAAGAGAAATGATTAATTGCTCCGTAGCACATGCAGCCTGTCGGTGGCGAGATGTTAACTACCTCGCCTGGTTTACAGGAGGTCGTGTGCTCGATCGCATTCCTGACGCCAGCTGTTTATTTGGAGTTTGCATGCGTCTCTCCCCGTTGTTGTGTGGATTTTTCACCGGGTCCTCCGATTTTCTTCCCTCCACATGTAGACATGTATTTGGCTGAATAAATGTCCACGTGTTGATGAGTCCACAAGAGTTACATATTTGGTGTGGTGTTTATTTACGCGGAAAACTTATTTTTTTCTCCTGAGTTACTTTATTCGCAGCATCCCACACGGATGCTCCTCACGTTCAACACCACGTACTCATGTCGCTAACTCTTTCTTTCTTCCTCCGCTAGCCTGTTACTCCCCACTCTCCTAGCCTGTCACGGACTCTCTATCTGTACACTCTGCTAGCTTCTCACCCCGCTAGCCTATCACACTCAGACTAAAGATTTTCCGCTAGTCTTTCCACTGATAGCGTGTCTCGCCCGTGCCCCCAGCGGGGGATCAGCCATCACCTCTGGGGAGGACGAGGTGTGGAAGGCAAGGTCCCGGACTTCTTTTAAATATGTTCACTGCTTCATCTCCAACCAACTCAATCCAGTTGCTTCACACGTTCCCCTTATATCCCCCTTCTCATTAAGTGCCCTCAGATGACCCTCATTAAGATGCCGTCTCTCGCACGTGTTCTCACCCTCAGCCAAATGCGTTTGCATTTGCAGCCAGCCAATCACTGCCTCGTTTAATTGATGGCGTCTCTCTGTCTGCTGTCTCCCAGGCCACCCGCCTGCACCTGCTCGTCCTGAGCTGGCCTCACAGGTTGCAACCCCGTACATGAATGCAACTGCTGTTTGCAAACCCTGCGCGCGTTACGCCACTACGCATAGCTCAGTGAGAATTACTTGGTAATAAAATACATATATAGAATCAGCTGCTAGGAGCACACGAGTCAGTGTCACAGTCTCACCTGGGTCCCCAGTCAAGCCTCGAGCCCCGAGCTCTCCCTTGTCCCCGGGTGCTCCGGTAGCGCCTGCGACAAGAACAAAGCATGGCTCGTCCGCTCAACAAGCCACTCTCAATACACACCACTCGCCTCCACGCACTCTCCTGCCTCTCCCTCTCATCTCACTCCACTCCCCTCCACGCACTCTCCTGTCTCTCCACTCTCAGCTCACTCCACTCCCCTTCACGCACTCTCCTCTCATCTCACTCCACTCCCCTCCACGCACTCTCCTGCCTCTCCCCTCTCATCTCACTCTACTCCACATGAGACACTCTCCTACGATAATGAGCGAGTGAACGATCAAGGGCATGACATGGTGAGTGAACGTTTGAGTGAGTTAACGTTTGAATGAACTAGGGAGTGAATGAGTGAGTGAACGATTGAGTGAGTTAATAAGTGAGTAAGTGAGTGAGTGAACGAGTGAGCGAGTGAATGAGTGAGTTAGTGCGTGCACGATTGAGTGAACGAGTGAATGAATGAGTGAGTGAATGAGTGAGTGAACGATTGAATGAGTGAATGAGTGACTAGGGAGTGAACGAGTGAGTGATCGAGTGAGCGAGCGAGTGATCGCGTCCCACCACGAGCGCACCGTCGGGGGGTCTCTGGGACCCGACCCCTCACCGTCTCTGCCGTCCCTCCCGGGGGCCCCAGGGGCGCCGTGCTGCCCCGGGGCTCCGGGCTGACCGGGGATCCCGTTGATGCCCGCGCAGACGGTCTTCTCCTGCTGGGCTCCCACCACCACCACCCCCAGCAGCAGCGGCAGGGCCGAGATGGACATCTGGGGACAGCAGTGGCGAGATGTTAACTAGCTCGCCTGGTATACAGGATGGATTTAAACACGAACTATTATTTTATTAAATCCTTTATATTAAGTTCACTTGCTTGCTTGCGCTTACGACCGTGCAAATCTTTCGGTCGCTTTTTAACCCACTTCCCGTGATCCAATCGAGCTGACATTTTGCACACAGACTCCTTGTGCGTGACAATTTATTTTTGTGAATTTTTTTTCCCAAAATTTTCCACTTTTTAGGAATTTTTTTTTAAAATCCTTTATATTAAGTTCACTTGCTTGCGTGCTTACGACCGTGCAAATCTTTCGGTCGTTTTTTAACCCACTTCCCGTGATCCAATCGAGCTGACATTTTGCACACAGACTCGTTGTGCGTGACAATTTTTTTTCGTGAAAAAAATTTTCACAAATTTTCCACTTTTTAGGAAAACATTTTTTTTACTAACACAATAATATATTTTTCCAAAAACACAGAAAATTATTCAAGAAAACAACAAAAATGTACAATATAAACAATCATACAAAAACTGAAAACCTTATAATCCATATATACGACTTTCCTTGTATTTAATTTAAAATACCAATGTGATAAAAATGAAACTCTTACTCAAGAAAAACAGAAATGAATAATAAAATAAAAGCTATGCCACGCATATAAAGGATTTACGGGTTAATTTTTTTTTACCAATTAAGGTATGAATGAGTTGCTATACTGTAAAGTCGATCTTTTTTCAAAAGCGCCCTGCCCATCACAAATTATAGTTCAATGAAGTAGGCTTATCATTGTCACGTGGAAACTTATATCAAAGCTCTAAACACGTGGTGATGTTGATTTTAAATGTGAATGAGAAAAACTGGAGGACCCGGAGTAAAATACACGCGACCACAGAGCGACACGAAATATACAGCAGACATCAGGGTGGCAATCGAACCCACGACCTATATACCAATCGAGGTAATTAACATCTCCACAGGAAGAGAAAGAGAGAGACGCAAACTCCAAATACACAGCAGCAGGCATCATCGAGGTGTCGATTAAACCCACGATTTCCTGCATACCAGGCGAGGGCGTTAACATCTCCACAGGGAGGGACAGAGAGAGATGCAAACTCCAAATACACAGCAGCAGGCATCATCGAGGTCTCGATCGAACCCACGACTTCCTGTATACCAGGCGAGGTCGTTAACATCTCCACGGGGAGAGACAGAGAGAGATTGACACAAACTCCAAAGAAGGAGCAGCAGCAGGCATCGTCAGGGGCCCGGCGATCGAACCTGACGAGGGAGAATCAGAGACAAGCGCGGAGACAGCAGCCAGAACCATTGTGTCGTGTAGACGCTGCAGGAGAAATCCGATGAGCCGTGAAGCTCTTTTCAAGTCACAGATGCTCCGGTAAGGAGGCCACGAAGTCAGAACGTTTCAACAACAAACAACACGATGCACAAACAGGATAGGAGGGCGAAGTATAGGAAAGGTAAACAAATAATGTAAAACAATATAAACAAAAACATCTATCTTCTTGGTTCTTTCGGTAAAGTCACGTAGAAGGGAAATAATAAAATAATAAAAAACATATTGTATTATAATATTATTTTATGATGTTTAAGTTGTATTATTTTATTATCTCCCTTCTACGTGACCTTACCGAAAGAACCAAGAAGATGAATCCCTGCAGTCACGAAAGCTTTAAATCGAAAAAAAACATCTATACTAGTTGTTATCTTCCCAGGTAAAACCCCAACTGAGCTATTCACTTACTATCAGTAGAGACCTCTCCATCACAAATAATGGCAGCTCGACGAAGTGGCCTATCATCATCGTCAACATCACGTGAACAATTATAGTAGCAGCCAAACATAGAGATGGAGAGAAACGCATGGAGACCCATATTGATACATGTGTGGGTCTATGGGTTTATGGGTGTGTTTATGAGTCTGCGTGAGACTATGGGTTTCTGTGTGATCTATGGGCATCTGTTTAAGTCATTGCGTCTCTGTGCATCTGTGGTTCTCTGTGTGAGTCTATGGATCTCTGTGTGAGTTTACGGGTCACTTTGTGAGTATATGGGTCTCTGTGTGAGTATATGGGTCTATGTTTGAGTCTATGGGTCTATGTGTGCATCTACGGGTCCTTGTGTGAGTTTGGGGGTCTATATGTGAGCCTGTGGGTCTATGTGTGATGAGTCCATGGGTCTCCATGTGAGTCTACTGGTCTCTGTGTGATAAGTCTATGGATCTCTGTCGGAGTCTATGAGGCTGTGTGATGAGTCTATAGGTATCTGTTTGAAAATACGGGTCTCGGCGTGAGTCGATGGATCTCTGTGTGAGTCTATGGATCTCTGTGCCAGTCTATGGGTCTATGAGTGTCCGAGGGATATGTGTGAGTATGAAGGTCTATGTCTGAGTCTACGTCTCTGTGTGAATCTGTGGGTCTGCGTGTGAGTTTACGGGTCTCTTTGTGAGTGTATGGGTATTTTATGAGTCTATGGGTCTCTGTGTGAGTCTGTGAGTCTCTGCGTGAGGAGTCTATGCGCTGAGTATATGGGTCTCTGTATGGGTCTATGGATTTATGTTTGAGTATGTGGGTATATGTTTCAGTCTCCGGATCCCTGTGTGAGTCTGTGGATCTATGTGTGTGTCTGTGGGTCTGTGTGAGTCTACTCGTCTCTATGTGAGTCTATGGGTCGTGTTGTAAGTCTATGGAATTCTGCGAGTAATATATGGGGTATGTGTGTTGGTTGTTTTGCGTTTGTGCGGCGCGAGCGCAGGAGGTAGATTGCACATTCGCAGGCCACTCGAATGTATGTTGAACTTGTTTGGAGTCGTACATAGACAACAATGCGAATTGGATGTGTGGGGGAAGGACAACAATCTATGGGTCTCTGAATCTATGGGTCTCTGTGTGAGTCTATGGGTCTCTGTGTGAGTCTATGGGTTTCTGTGTGAGTCTATGGGTCTGTGTGTGATTAGTCTTAGGGTCTGGTGTGATGAGCCTATGGATCTCTGTGTGAGTCTTTATACATATGTAGTGGTGATTGGCTGTGTGTTGGTGACGCGCGCTGACAGGGAGTGATCGTGTGGCAGCGCGGGGCGATTGGTTGTGTAGTGGTAACACGCGCTGGGAAAACGGATCGTAGGAACAGCGCGCCGTGATTGGTCGACTAGTGGGCGCTCACATCGCGGTCCGCAAGAGGGCTATATAAGGCGGTGCGCGCGGGCGCTCGGGGAGTTGGTGACCGGCGAAGACTGAAGACGGCGGAGGAAGAGATAGGGCCCTGCGGCACCTAGTCCCGCTGTCCTTGTAAGGGCCGGGGCTCTGTGTGACCCAGAGGCGGGACCCTGGGACCCGGGGCCGAACGTCCGTGTGAGGGCCGGCTCTCGGGACCCAGAGGTTGTGACCCACGCCCAAGCTGGGGTGGGTCTGTAGGCTCCACGGACGTTACGGGGCTGGAGTGTAGTGTGAGCATGCAGCGTGAGCCATAGTCACTACACGTGTCAGTGGAGTGTGTAGTGGGAGAGGTAGTGACCACACGTGTCAGTGAAGTGTGTGTAGTGTGAGGAATAGTGACCACACGTTGTATCGTGACAAGTCAAGGTTTAATAAAAAGTGTGCTACCCGTCAAGAGGTTTCCTGCCGTCATTCCGATACTTCACATACGGTAAGTTGCATTTTCTTTCGCACCACCGTACGTAGCAGCTGAGCGTCCTGCTAATCGCAGGTTGTCGGTGCTCAGCGTTGGTCACCGAGTCACTGGAATCCTCTCCCCCGTCTCCCCTTTTAAACGTTACTCGAGTCACGTGCTCCTCCATTTCCCACTTGGTCCAGACCTCCCACGTGTGACGTCACAGTCAACACGCGCGCGCACAAACAAGAAAGACAAAAATCCCCCGCGTAGCCTGTAACAGACTGCCGGGGGCAAGTGGCTGTTAGTAGCGAGAAGTAGCAGCGCCTATGAAGGCCGGCACTGTGGCACACGAGGGGGTGGGTGGCCAGCAGCACCACGCCCAACCGCCTTCATCTCCCTTAGTGGTGATATTTAGCAGTAACGTGCTGTGAGGTCAATGGCTGGGGAGGCACTGGCTTGTATTAGAGCCAGATTTACTCACTGTGGTGGTGTGTCCTCACTGAGAGGGGCATGTCCTGATGCCAGTGGTTGTCACCTCGGCCATACTTCTCCCCGTCCTCCGGAGGTCATCCCAAGGCTTTGTGTGGACGCAGATGTTCTTAATTGCCCATTGGAATGTATTTTTGACTCGTCGATGCTGACCCCCGGGAGTGGTGTGTATTTGTGGCCATGTGTTTATTGTGAAATGGCATATATATTATCCATGTGGCATGTGAATGACCTCCTTTCCCCCATCTCTCTCTCTCTCTCTGGGTTTTATATTTGTGTCCTTTCTGCAGTGACTGGATTACCGAGTTAGATTCTCCCTTAATAAAAACAGTCGCGGTTATCTACTCTGGTTTTGATTCCCTCCTTAGGTCGACTCAGTCTAAATATGAATACCTGGCTGGCATGTTAAGATTGCCACTGGGAAGACAAAGGCGTGTGACAGTCATTGTTAATACAAATGTAGTGGGTTCAACTGGGTCGCAGACGTACTCTTTGGAGGCAACACATTTATTAACACCAACACAAGGGGTAACAGCTTCTTAACAAGATAACAACCAATGGTGGTGGACCACCAGGCTAACTACACGAATTACACAATAATAAGCTACAATGGAACGGACCACAGCTTGGGTCCCAGCCCACGTCTTGGTGACTCTGTAGAACGTAGAACGTAGATTCTTCAGGATGAACAACAGCAGCTGGTCTCTCTCGGGGACCCGGCTTACATCCTCTGCGGCGTGGCTGGCTCCGCCCTGAGTCACGACCACATTCTAGAATCCTCGAGCAGGATGTCGACCCTGACACGTGACCACCCCTAGCCCCCACTTGGGGCCCCCGTGTAAACTCACCTGGTCACGTGTATTCCGGGGTCAA